TATATATATATAATGTAATGGTTCCAAGGAATAGAATATAATTTGAATTTCTCTCTAAACAATTTCTTCATTTTACTTATTGCAGATAATATGCTTAGAATTTTATATTGAAATTTATTCATTGGAACTATAAGTAGTTTTTAAGTGATATGTTTGTTTATTTTTAGTGCCTTGGATATTGAGAAGTAGTATCATTTTGAGAGCGCCTTTTGCACCTCCTAGGGATAGGTGGGATGATTTAGGAATTTTGTGAGACAACTTACTATACTTTTTCATTAATAAAACTCTTTTTTTTATTAAAAAAAAAACTTGTTCCTTATTTTATTGTTGTTTTCCCTTTTCCTAGCCTCCATCACCCCCACTAGCTTATGTGATGTGAAACAATAGGAGTTAAGAAATTAAAGAGAGCAAATTAACAAAATAATCCCAAAATAAAGTTATTACTTATAACAAGGATTGATCCTCGGAGTTCCTAGTCTTTAACTAGCTTAGGCAAAAAAGAGCGAAATCAATTAACCAAACAATTCAAGAAAACACAAAGAGTAATTGTAAAGCTACGACGATAAACAAGAATCCACAATTTAATAATGAAAACTTTCACCTTTGGAGCCCATACGCTCAAATAGTCTAGGATTTAGCGGAAGAAGAGTCTCCACATTAGAATCGAGGTCACTCCGAGGAAGAAGGAACCTAGGATCGTCGTTCTTGGATAGGTGGCCGGAGTGGTGGAGGATGATTGTCGTCCAATGATGATCCAACGTCCCTTTGACCTTTGCTCGTCGATCACGTCAACTAAGGTGTAATGGATACGGTCGATGTATTCTTCAACGGTGTCGTCGAAATCAAAGCCAACGTCAACGAATGGCTATTGGATAATGTCGACTTGATCTCGATCGTTATGCACAAATCCAAAGTTCCATTCGAGTTCCGCCATGCATCCTCGCCAAGGGTTGAAGGAGTACCCAAGATGGGAGAGAGGGTGGACGGTTTGGAGAGGTGGAGGGGAGAGGGGATGGGCCGTGGGCTAGATGAAAGAGAAGGTCACGGTTTGGGAGGGAGAGAGGGGAGAGGGTGAGGTTATTTAGTGGAGAGAGTAAATCTGAAACTTAATTTCAGAATCTAACTACAAAGGAGGAGAGAATCAATTTCAAATTTCAGATTTTGAAATCTAAAATTAAAATATGAAATTAAATCTGTGAGAGGGAGGCATTAAAGAGGTGTTTAAGTGGTGATGAGGTGGCAATTAGAGAGAGAAGCAATAAGGGTGAGGTGACCGACCATGTGGAGAGAGAGAGGGGCTTGGTATTAAATAAAATGGGGCCCACATAATTAAATCAGGTTTAATAAAAAATTCTGAATTGAAATTTCAGGTTTCATATATGACAAAAGTTTCCTAAAGTATGGCAATCAATTGACTTAATTTGAATTTCAAATTGGTATTGAAATACAATTAAGAGGATTGCCTAAAATCGAGGATTTAATTTAGGAAAGTCAATTGTCCCACGGGGAGATTTGAAATTTCAAATTTCAAATCCCATGGAGGGAGGCCGGCGGCTAGAAGAGGCAAGGGGTCCAAGGGGTGGCCGGCGGGCTGCTGGCCGGCGGCCTAGGCGGCTCAAGGGGAGGCGGAGGCAAGGGGTGAGGGGACGGGAGGAGGGGAATTTCTAGGGATTTGATTTGCTAAAATTCCACTCACCTCAATTATCTTCAATTCGGATCTCCACGAAAATAACTTGGCGAAAATTTAGAACTCTCGAAGACAAAAATAGTTTGGCAAAAATCTAGAACTCACAAAGAGATCTATCTTCTTCGACGAACTCACTAAGAGATCGGGGAGGGTTGAACTCACAAAGAGAACATAAGAGGCAAATTTTCATTCATAAAAAACTACTCATTACAATGCATGAGGCCTCATATAAGTAGGCCAAAATGAAATAAAAAAGAAATGACACAAATGCCCTTCCGGGCTACATAAGCGACTCAATGCCCACAGGGGCAAACTAGGAAACAAGAAATACAAGCATAAAATAAAAATGCAAATAAATCAGAAGTAGAGGCTCTGGATCGTAGCCGTCGATCTGCGTCTCCGGTGATGGTACACGTGTCGAAATCTGATGTCCTCATCATTATGTTTACCAAAGCTTTACTATAACTCCTATACTCAACTCATTCATGCCATAACTTTGACATATTCTGCATGTCAATGACATTTGTAATATTTTTCAACCTTAAGTATTCAAGTAAAATCAAGGGGCTACTGATTTTGGAATTGAAAGGGAAAAAAAGAAGTGTTGCAGTATAAATTGATTACACTTCTGGTACATGCATCCTAAGTTTTGATTCTCATACAAGTGGATTGTGTTATGGAAATAGATTATAGATGGTTTCCTTTTGCGAGAAAATATTTTTGATGCTGTAGTCTTCAGGATAGTTATCTTTTGCGTTTGTATATCTTTACGATAGAAATGATAGCTTTTGGAATATTTCACTTCATACGAAGGTTTTCCTTAATGACATGAGATTAAAGAATGCACATTTTCATTTTCCCAGAGGTGAATGCAATGCTGTGCCAACTCTAAATAGTTCTGATTATGCTTATTATGATGGTTAAGGTTCCACTAATTTAGATTATCTTACTGATTTTAGCACTGCTACTGGAGTTTAAGTTCTCCTTTCTATGAGATAATATGTTTTTTATGCTTATAGATTATAGAAAAAAAAAAAATTCTTATGTGGACTGAGTCAAGTGGTACATTATTATTACGATTTGGTCAGTTGAAGAATCTTTGCTACATGGTTCTTTTTTAAAAAAAGTTTGATGAACAATTTCAAGGAGAATGCATATACGCCTTAAATTTGCAATATGTGGTTCTTCAGAGTTTGTTAATAGTCGGACCTATATTTGTTTCTTGTGTTTCTTTCCATGTATTTGTTGCAGACATGGTTACCTTGTTAGCGGGCAGCTATAGGAATCCATAAATAGCAGTTTAATCTCTGTTATTAAAGATGTTGGCTAAAGAATATTTGCACGCAGGAGATTGCTTTCTACTGTTTTTTTTTTTTATTTTGGACAATATATGAAGGGGTTTTAGTGAGGAATCATTTGTTGGTATATGGTACATACTTTGGAAATTACAAGGAAACCATTTGAAAGGGATTGAGAGTCTTCTTAAAGAGCGTTCGGAAGAGGTTCCAAGTAATAAATCACCTTTTTTGATTGATGCTTTTGGGTAGAAACTGTGGGAATTAAACTATTTGAACTTTAAAGGCTGAGCCATCAGAACAGTACTTGGTAAATAATTTTAAGTTTGTTGACAGAGATTTTGTCATGATTTAAAGCAAAGTTTACACGTCTTTTTTTTTGTAGATTTGTAGATTTAGACTGGTCGTTACTTATTATCTTGTTATTTATCATTATTTACAGTTTATTTTCATCATATAAGTACGCTCTGATGGCATTTTTTTTCTTTTTTTTTCAGGTTTGCTTATAAAGCACCAGCTTGTGAATCATATTGAACTGGGTATTGCTTTGCGTTTTGTTCTTGATGCATTACGCAAATCTATTGATTCAAAGGTGTGCAATTAATTGATGAAATTATTATGTTTTTGTTTTCCTTGCATCTGTTTTATCTAAGAGGTTGGTTGTTTGCAGATGTTTATGTTTGGCACTAAAGCTTTGGAGCAGTTCATGGATCGTTTGGTGGAATGGCCACAGTATTGCAATCATATTTTACAGATATCTCATTTGCGAAGCACACATGCTGAGTTGGTTGCTGTCATTGAACGAACTCTGGCTAGAGTTTCTTCAAGCCAGGCTGAATCAAATGGAGTAAACAGTCTCTCTACTGAGATGCAACAAGTTTCTGCACAAATTTCTGTAGAAAGCATGGAGGTATAACTTTACTGATTTTCTTTGGACTGCCTGTTCTCAAAGACAAACAAAGTGTGGGCCGTGTTTCTCTTCTAAACTTTTTTTGACGCCACAAAATGCTTGTAGTGTTTACCAGGAAAATAGCTTCATCTCTTATTCGACCTTGTCAAATTTTGGATCTTTAAAATATAAAACTATTCCTGTCTCAAATCTGGCTCATTATTTGCCTTTCAACACTTGAAGTCTTTGGTTTTGCTGATAATTGTTTTTACTCTTTCTGAAATAATAATATGAAAAATTTCGTTATAATCGGTTGACCTTGTTTAGTTGGTTTCCCTTTAGTCTAATAGACTACTGATTCTGTGTGATTTCTTGTTTGTCTGCATCATCATGATGGGAAAGCACGTTTGGGGATTCGGGCGTTGTAATTTTTTTTGGGCGTGCTTACAATGATATGGTTGCTTTTGTGTAATTGAGCTTTTTATATGATATATGAACTCTTTTTTGTATATACTCTACTAATTCTGGGATATGGCTACGTACAATAGTGCTTCTACGTCACTAAGATAAAATAGTAAATTTAGCAGCGATGTGGGACAATTAGTTTATTGATATACATATGCATGCTTGCGTGTCCATGTTAGCTTATTTGTTTGTGGATGAAAACCTTTTTTTTTTGTTAGAAGCCTACTTTTTCAACTTTCGGATTTTCATTATTTCAATTTAATTTCTCTATATGTATAGGCCATGGTGGGTTCTTGGCAGCTGATTGGTTCCAGCTCTAGTCAGTTTGGGCAACAGCCTCTTCCTTTTCAGCAGACTCAACCACAGCTTAAGCATCAAGGTTTTCTCGGGGATAGGCTCAAACCTGCTTCGACCCCTGTAAGCTACACAAAGCCTGTCCTATCTAATGCTGGGCAACCTTCTCTCGTGTCTGCATCTGGAGAATCTGTACCAAACCCTAAGGTAGTCGCCTTCAGCTTTTGTAAATGAATAATGGCTATTTTTTTTCTTTTTGATTTTTGCTGTATAAGATATCATGCTTTGATGTCATATCTCCTTTTCCTATGCGAACAGGTGACAGCATCTCAACCTCCACAACCTCCATCTTCTCAGCATTTGGCTGCTGTTGCAACATCTGCTTCATCCTCTCCTGGTTTTCTACGTGCCTCCCGCAGCATGGCGCCTTCTGGTGATTAACTTGCATATTTCATGTCTATAGAAGCTTGTTTTTGTCTATGCTCTTCTATTGATATAGTGGGCAGTTGATGCTTTTTCAAAGAAAAATGCTTAAATACCAAAATATACTTTTCATATTAATTTGTGATTAACCTGCATTGTAGGCATGCTTCGGCAATCCTCCCACAGCACAGGTTTTGGGGCAGCTTTGAACATTGAGACGCTTGTTGCCGCAGCTGAACAGAGAGATACACCTATGGAAGTAATCATATTGCCAGACATTCTTCATTTCTGCTTTGTTTTAACAATCAGAGTCATTTTAAAATAAAAATTCAACGAAAAACTTTTGTTTGCATCATTTTGGCAGGAAAGATAGCATCTCTTTCAAGTCCACCATTTTTTCTGTTTTAATCTGTTTTCACTTTGATTTAGGCCCCGGCATCAGAAGTTCAGGACAAAATATTATTCATTGTTAATAATATTTCTATTGCAAATGTGGAAGCAAAAGCAAAAGAATTTAATGAAGTTCTTAAAGAGCAGTATTATCCCTGGTTTGCACAGTATATGGTGATGAAGAGGTAGTGTTTTTACTAAAAAAACCAAGTTAAATGCTATTCTTACTCGCATTCTTTTCCTTCTTCGGCTCATCCAAGTAATTACATTTAAATTGTCCTTTGCAGAACAAGTATTGAGCCAAATTTCCATGATTTGTATCTAAAATTCTTAGATAAAGTCAACTCAAAGGCCCTGAACAAGGAAGTTGTTCAAGCTACATATGAGAACTGCAAGGTTATGTGTGTTCTTTGTTTTCTATTTTGCCTATTTGTTTTCTTCCTGATTCTTGAAGTTCTTTCTTGTTCTTAAATCGATCTTCTTTTATTCAGGTACTGTTAAGATCTGATCTTATAAAATCAAGTTCAGAGGAGCGGTCATTACTAAAAAATCTTGGTAGTTGGCTTGGAAAGTTCACAATTGGTCGGAACCAAGTTTTACGGGCTAAAGAGTTGGACCCCAAAGTGCTAATTATAGAGGTAATTCATTCTTTATGAACCTTAGCGGTGTAATGCGTTTTTATTGATTTGGTATTTTGTTTATTGATGTGTTCTCATCAGTGCTGATGTTTAAATAATTTCGTAATGATCAAACATATAATGTCTTTTTGTGCTATGCAGTTTTAATGATCATTACACTGTTTTCATTCTTTTTTATTTAAACTCTTTATTTCCCACTTTTCCTGTTTGTTTATTATCTCTTTAGACCAGCACGCCAACACTTTGCCATGCATGACAAACAAACCACCGGTGCTCTGCAAATGTCCTTTTGGCCTATATGATGGTGCAGGATGGTCTCATTGCTTTTGCAAATTACAATGTTTGCTAGTTTCAGTTTTTGGTTGTGGAGAACACAAAATTAACTGCTGTTGTGACTTGTGAGGCCCTCTTTCGAAGAAAATTTTATATTTTTTGAGTAATGGAGTATATTTAGAGAATGCATGTCATGCTTGTTAAGGACAAATAGTGCACCATAATGCAAACTTTCCTATTGAGTCATAGTGCATATGTGGCGTGCTATTTTTAACATGGTGTAAAATATAAAAAAAAAAGGAAAGCTAATAGTAATAGGCTTTTCAAATGGCATAAAAAGAAAAAAATGAAGTTGAGAAGGCTCTTAGATATTTTTAGCATCAGTCAATGAATGATATGGTAACAATTTAGGGAAGGTCAATATATCCATAATGGAACATATGATGACCATTGTAATTAGTATCTATATGTAAAAGAATAATAATAGAGGTTTCTTATGACATAAATAATAAAAAAATAAACTTGGGAAGGATTCTGTAAATATTTTCAGCATCAATCAATGAATGACAGGGTAACATTCTGTTAAAATCTCAGCCGTCCCTTGACCCTTAATCCCACGGTCAGAATGGGCATCTGTGGGAGGCTTACTTGGATCTTGATGATCTCTATTAAATCCCAGCCGTCCCTTGACGCTTGATCCCACAACCAAGATGGGAATCCATTGGAGGCTCACTTGGATCACGCCGATCTCCTTCTATATTTAGATGGCTGATTTAAGAAAGATTATATTAAGGCAATTATGCATGATTATGTAGTTATTTGTTTCTTTATTAAGACATCTTGTATAGATCTATAAAAAGTGATTACTTTGTGTAATAAAATTAAGCATTTCCCTCTCCACTTTTTTGAATTTAACATTGTATCAAAGCCTTCATTTCCTTAGCCAGAATTTTGAGTCTTTTTAATGTCGGACTTCTTGAAGGGAAGGCCCATAGAAACGAAAGGGAGTGTATTCCGGTTTGTTCTTTCATGCATACATCTAATCTAGACGGGAGAGTATCTCATCCCGCGGTCTCTTCATTTGATCGAGAGAGACGAACGTCTAGTGCGTCTCATCTGGAGGAGTTGATAAGAACCTCGTGGTCTATGCGTTCGATCAAGAGAGACGAACGTCTTGTAAACTCCCTCGCATGCGTGCGACCGAACGGGACAGGAGAGGCATGCGACCAGAAGATTCTGCGCGTTTTCTTGGGAGCTGATTGAGCGACATTGCGCTCAATATTGCATTTGATCAATTACGAGCCTGTTCTTACATTATGCATCCCACTCACATACGTCTAGAGTAGTTGAGCAAGTGAGAGGGCTTCCCCTTTTGATCTTTTGTGTGCGACTAGAGAAGGCACACGAGACCCCTCTTGTGCGTCTCTACCTGGGGGCCGAACTGAATGAAAAAAAGATCAAGAAATGGAGCGAGCAGGAACTGTGTACGTGTGTGTGCCTAAGAAGGGGTGACCGACCCTCGTGCGTGTGTTGAAGTCAAACCGAGCACAGAACAAATGGTTGAAGAGCTGTTGTACATGCCATCAAATCCTCCACTCGAAGAGCTGCTCCTAGCTCCAAATCATGACCCCTTTTGCATGTTTCAGATTCGCTACCCTCGGATCTGGGAGATGTACAAGCCTCTTTCTGGATATAAAAAGAAGTCAAACTCTCTAAAGATCACCATTGGGACCAATCCCTCAAATTGGACGAACACCACTTAGTAAGCCTTCTTCATTGTCGCTGACGAAATCATCATTGAGAACTTTGCTGGTCGAATTTGGACTGAAGTCAGTTTGCCGGATTTGAAGCTCGCTGATGGAATGGTCTTGATATGTGGAGTTGCCCAGACGATGCGTGCGGTGGGGAAGAATATGGCTTTCTTGGTGGTAAGGCAATTCACTGCTACGGTTTAGTGCATGCTTATGGAGACCAAAGAGTTGGTGAGCACACAGATGGTGAAGTACACTACTTCCCTAAGTAGGGAGTCGATCGTGGATATCAAGGGTGAGGCTACAGAGAGATTAGAAGCACTTTATCCTACCCTGAAGGAGCTGGTGCTTGTAGGTTCTATAGGTTCCCACCACCGGCCTTGTTTGCCAAAATTCTTAGAAATACAGGTTCCCACCACCGGCCCTCATTGTCGGAATTTTGGGGAATCCAGATGCCCACTTCGACCTTCATTGTCGGAATTTTGAGGAATACTGGTCTTTCCACCGGCCTTCATTGCCAGAATTTTGAGGAATATAGGTTCCCACTATTGGCCTTCATCGTCGGAATTTTGAGGAATATTTGTTCCCACCATCGATTTTCATTATTGGAATTTTGAGGAACTTTGTGCATCCAAGGCCGAGGAGAGATCTAGCGGGAGGGATCCTCTTGCCTGCGATGTCCAGAGTCGACCGAGCGGAAGCGAGCGCAGGACCTCCTCCTGTGTGTTTTTAGAAAGAGCCGAGAGTTCCCTCTCATGCGGGGTCGAAGACAAGCAAGAGTGCAATACATGCACTGTCTCTTGCGATTAGACCAGATGGATCAGAGGCTTTGTGTGCACCTTTACTGGCTTATCGAACAAGAGTCAGTTCAAGTGGAGTTGGATGAACTAGGAAGGAGAAGATCGACGTGTTGAGAGCTAAGTCGCTTGAGATGTGTGTATCTGCTCTTGTCCTTGAAGCTGTCGAAACTCTAAAAGATATTTTTTTCCTTTTTTATTGACATGCCTTCATTGTCGGCCTTCCCTTTAGAACCGAGAGGGAGACGGACCCGAAGGATAATAATTCCATTTTCCTTGTTGTCCCACCATCGGCCTCTATTGCCATTTCTGACATCTTGAGGGCTACCGTTCAACACAACCTTCATTCTTGCTCGCACCTTACAAGCTTGATTGATATAGCCTTCATCATTATTATTTGCTGCTATCATAATGTTTGAACCTAACTCCTCCCAAAGTTTTGACCAAATGGAGGACTCTATGGTGCACCAAGGAATTTGATAACTCTACTTTTGAGTGGGAGGGCTCCTCTTACCTGTATCATGCCAATCTCTATTAAATCTCAGCCGTCCCTTGACGCATGATCCTACGGCCAAGATGAGAATCCATGTGAGGCTCACCTAGATCACGCTGATCTCCTTCTATATTTGGGTGACTGATTTAAGAAGGATTATATTAAGGCAATTATGCATGATTCTGTAGTTATTTGTTTCTTTATTAAGGCATCTTGCATTGATCTATAAAAAGGGATAACTTTGTATAATAAAATTAACCATTTCCCTCTCCAATTTTCTGAATTTAACACATTCTAACAAAAGCAACATATCCATGATGGAACTTATGAGGACCATTGTGATTAGCCTCAACATGTAAATTGGCCTTTGTGAAGTCAACAAAACCATAAGATGGTAATGGTTTACCAAGAATCTACCTCTGTCATGCCCTTCTTCATCAAAGCCTTGAAATGGCGTCGAAGATGAGAATAACCTTTGTTGAGATCAACATCCGTTGTGTCATTTGGCGAGGGCGAGAGTGAGATCAAGAGTAACTTTGAGGCTGCATTGGCAAAAACATTTGGTGAGAGGAAGAGGCGAATGAAAATGGTTTGAGAGAGCGACAGAGATGTTCGATGTGTATCGTTTGTTCTCGATGCCTTAGACTCAATGGCGTACATAGTAGTGAGAGATAGATGGACTGGAGGACTTGTGGGACTGCTTGATGCCTCAATAGGCTCTAACAGACTTAAATTGGGATAAATAAAAGAAATAAATATATAAAAATACAAATATTAATTTTAGAGTTTAAATTATAAAAATTAAAAAGAGAGTTGCTATAAGGGCTTTGCACTATGTGCTATTAGCTCTACATGACACAAATAGTGCGCGCCACTCCCAAAACTGCTCCAAGAAAGTCGTGCAGGCAGCGCACCGCATGCGCTATGGGTCATGGCGTGCCTTATTGACATGTATAGTTTGAGTATCCAAGAGAAATCATTTGTAGGAGTATCCAAGAGAAATCATTTGTTGGAAATTGATGTGGCATCCTTTAGAACTATTTGTGCTTCATAGATAACTAGCCTTAGATCAATACCTAATAAGCTCTTATTTAGAATTTCAATTAAGAGTTGTTTAATTTGAGTGGTAGGTGAGGAGTAAGTATTGGTCTATGCATGTTGAAGATTGCTTTATTTGTTGGTGTTTTTGAGAGATATATTGCATTGCGTTTGTGATGTAGGCAAAGGGGGGTCAAATCAAGCTGGGTTGTAATTTTTTTGAGTTTCTTTATCTCTACTAAAAATCAGCTCATAAATGCTTTCCGACTACTTATTCACCTCATAATTTGGAGATTTATTAGGATCATTCCCCCCATTTGCTAGCCCTTTGGTTTCCCCACCTAGCTCTTCTTACCATGGCTGACTCCTCCCCCTTTTTATTGCCTGTTCCGGTCCCCTGGCTGCTATTCCGTCTTCTGTGCTGCCCCTTCGGTTTCCTCCAGGTGCTGGTCCCGTGGCTGCTTTACCTCCCTTTTGCAGGGTGCTGGTTCCGGTCTCCTGTGCAGCCCCTTCGGTTCCTCCCCTGGCAGCTTGTCCCGTGGTTGCTTTTGCCCCCTTGGTCCCCACCTGGCTGCTTGACCCGTGACTGATTTTCTTGATTTCCTGTGTGGCTTTTCAGCTGCTGTTTCTGGAATTTACTGTGGCTGTTCGGTTGCTGTTTTTGGATTAAATGATGGCCTTCTTAATTGGTTTAATTGGAGATACTTGGGTTGTTTGGTTGCCCTCTTTCCCCTATAAATAAAATGTGTTTTGTATGAATGAAGTAGTGTTATAATGGAATTTTTGGAGTAAAAAACCTGAGGGTTTTTCTTCCTTCTTTGGAAAAGCTTACGAGCTTGTTTCGTGCTTCTCTTCTCCTCAAGGAAAGATTGCGAGCTTGTGTCCACCCGCAAGTGTCCACCCCACATGTATCTTTTGTCTCAAGCAAGAAAGAGCTCCTTTAGATGTTTTATGTTTGTCAAGAGTTGTAAGGTGTTTGTTTTTATGTCATAAGTTTGTAAGAGTCTTCATCTTATAAAGTTGTATTTTGTCTTATTTTGTCATATTTTTGAGTATTTTGTGTAATCTTCTATTTCCTAGGAAGCTTTTGTTTTTGCTTTCAAAAATTTGGGGCTTTTCCAAATTTTTGCATGCATCAGTTTGGTTGAATTTTTTTAAGTTTAAGGCCATATAAAATGTCAAATTTGATAGTAGTGCTTCTATCATATTATAGAGAGGTGATTGTCAAGATTAAAATATTACACGATTTTAGTTATTTGATTTTTCTATTTGTACTTGGAGGACTTGAAGGATTTTACAATGTTTCTTTTTTGGGAAATTTACATGTGTACCACTTTATAACATCCTATTTATTTATCTAACACAAAAAACATTAATATTACATGCATACCACCCTATATTTTTTTAATATCAAATATACCACTTATATTTTTTTCTTACCACTCATATATTTAATTTCTACCACTCATATTTGATATGAAAATGAACTATGGGTGATATGTATGTAATATTAAAGTTTAAGAGGTTAAATATGTAAATAGAGTATTATAAGGTGGCATGTATGTAAATCTCACAATTTTTTTTTTTGTTTTGGTAAGTGGCTTTTTTGTTAATAAGAAAGAAAGGCTGCTCTTTTACTAGGTTACTGCTAGTTATTTACTGGCGTATCGTAGTTTGTTTACAAAAGGAATCATAATGCTGATTTAGCTATTTAATAATTGAATGCATTTTATTTCTTTTTCTTATTTATCCAACTCGATTTCTAGGCTTATGAAAAGGGGCTAATGATTGCAGTTATTCCATTCACATCGAAGGTATGATGTCCTTGAAGTTTGATTAAAGCAGAGGTTAATATTTGTATTTTCATAATACACAATGTAGGAAGTCATTGCAGGTTCTTGAACCATGTCTAAATAGTTTGGCCTATCAACCTCCAAATCCATGGACAATGGGCATCCTTAGTTTACTTACTGAGATCTACAATCTGCCAAACCTCAAGATGAACCTTAAATTTGATATTGAGGTATTGGCTAAACTAAATAATTGTCCAAAAGATAGTTTTTAGGTTGCGAATGTGCTTTTGCTTCCATATCGAATTGTTTTTCATTGTGTGGTACTATTGCAGGTCTTATTTAAGAATCTGGCTGTTGATATGAAAGATGTTAAGCCAACTTCACTACTGAAAGACAGGGTTCGGGATTTGGAGGGTAATCCTGATTTTTCAAATAAGGATATTACACCCCAAGCACCAATTATTGCTGAAGTCAATCCAGGGCTTGTACCTTCTATGAATCAAGCAGAACTGCACCAAGAAGCCAATAATACATCTATTGCAGCGTCCCATCAAAATGTATTGAATCAGGTTGCAAATAAATTTTTCTTACTAATTTGTAGCTCTTTTCTTACATACTTTCTCAATTAACCATTATTAATGTATTTGCTGGTTTTAGTATACTGCTTCTCTCCACCTTGCATCAAGCACCATGGTTGATGACGAGAAAGTTGGTGGCTTAATGATGCCAGAACGAGCTGTTCAGGGTTTACCTCAAGTCACGCAATCACACTCTCCATTTTCTCTTAGTCAGGTTTGTATATACCCTGCATTTTATTCATGCATAAGTATGGGAAAATACTTATGGAATGCTTTTGTAACGTGCAGCTTTTGACAATAATACCCAATTCCGATTCATACATAAACATCAATCCCAAGCTGAGTTCCATGGGCTCCCAGTCGCAATTTCAGAGGTGCTACTCAATTTATTTTTCCTCTTCCATACTAAGTGTTCTTTGTTCAATTTTCTCAAGTTCATTTGCTTGATTATCTTTATTAAATTGTCTACAGAATCATACAACTTGCAATGGATAGGGCCATTAAAGATATAGTAGCTCCTGTTATTCAGCGTAGTGTTACTATAGCAAGTCGTACTACCAAGGAACTTGTTGTGAAGGTCTCACTTCAATATTCCTTTAATCTTCTTCATGGATTGGGTAAAGGATGCATTCTTATCTGCTTGACTTTGATTATAGGACTACGCTATGGAGTCTGATGACAACGTGATATCACGTGCTGCACATTTGATGGTTGGAACTTTAGCTGGAAGTTTAGCCCATGTCACTTGCAAGGTTTTTAGCTTTCATCTTCCTAGCTATTCAAATTGTTTAGCTTATTTGAATCTTCATTTTTTTGTATTTTTTCAATTTTGTATGAAATAATTTTTTTACTCTATATGTATATATCAGGAACCTCTTCGCATTGCATTGTCTAATAACCTTCGCAGTCTACTTTCTGGAAATGTAAGCAGCGAACGTGTAGACCAGGTTGTTCAGATTTTGTCAAATGATCATCTTGACCTTGGTTGTGCAATGATTGAAAATGTAGCATATGAAAAGGTAATTAGTTTATTTCTTTTTTTATTATAATATCTAATTTTATTGGAATTTTGTTTGATATTTATGTTGTATAACTTTTGTTGAACTTTTATAGACTCCTTTTGAGTTTTATTTCAGCTCACTAACATGAATTACAGAGTTCACTTTAGTTGGTGTCTTGACTCCATATTATTACTTGTAATATTTTCAAAACTGAACTGTACAAGACTCGAAGGGTTTCCAATAATACAGAAGATTGCAAAGCTTACACAATAGTTGGCAATTACGTTGCCTGGGAAAACTTAGGGTATCTAAAGACTTCAAGAAGCATGTACAAACCAAAGGTTGCCCCAAACTGGATAGACAAGGAAAACAATAGATAACTGAAGTAAATTCTCATTTAAATTCACAAGCCTTGGATTTGTGGACTTATGGCCTTCAACCACGTATTTTTGTGTTGATTTAGACCAGAACTCCTACCTGATATAATCCTGTAGGTACAGTTGGCCTGGCGTCCTTTCCATCCTCTTGCTCTTTGAACGTACTTATTCTTCTCTAATGTACTTGCCAAGAAATAAAATTCTGTCTGGAAAGTCTAACTTCAATTGTCCCGAGAAATAAAATAAGTAAAAGAACGAGCAGATCAATTATCCCAAGAAATCAATAATAACTAATGTTGGAAAGCAGACAGCTTGATTAGAGGTATTTTAGGGATCCAGAAGATGCGCCCTTGCTGCTTTCAGAGCGTCAAGGGCTGTTCCATCCAAATTCTTATCCTTGCGGCTTGTCAGTTTGCTGTGGATTGATCTAATGTATAGCTGATTCTCCTCTTCAGCTCTTGCACACCTCTGGTTCTCTACTTGCTGATACTCACGTCTACCAGGAGTTAAAAAAAAAAAAAAAACCCAAGATAAATGACCACAGAAGACTGCCTTCCAGACACAAATCACTTTCATAACTAGGTCAAGAATTTTCTCCCTTAGATTGAAATTCTTGTGGATAGAACCGTTACAGCCCTTTGACTCGAATTGTTGTGGGCAGAATTGTTCCAGCTCTTCATACAGCTGTTGAGAAATTCCTGCTTCCAGCGATGGGTACCTTGAAGGTTTCCACGCACTGGCATCTGTATCAGAAACCTGGGACAGCACAAAGGAGATGGATTTTGAGTATGGGATCAATTTTGGCAGAATCCTGAACTTTACTATGATCACCTTCCATGTCCCCTTCTCCTAGCATAGGGAAAACCTTCCTCAATCTCAGGATAACTTGAAAATAAACTCAGCCAAACTGTTTTATCTTTCAGTGGATGTGGTATAATTAGGCTAGCCCTATTCACAACATCCATACACTCTTAATGGCCGAACTACCCCTTTCAAAGGAAGAAACGGAAAGTAGGTCCAATAATCATGATGAATTACGAAAAGGATCCCTTTCTAATGCTATGTCATGTATACTTCTTCAACATTTATCCATCAGATTTTATATGACTTTTTTTTTTTTGGATTTCCTACATACCGTGGATCAGTGAATGCTGAGTTTGTTCTCTTTTTCATTTTAGAATTTTTGCATGGATAGCTGAACAACTTTGTTTTAGAAAGCTTTGGTTGCATATTTATTCTTGAGTATAAGGTTTGTTCCGGTTTCCAGATTCAATCATTTTGAAAACTAAACATGTGAAGGATGTGTTGTTATAATATCAGTGGATACAAACTCGTGTGGATTTTAATTTCCTTTTTCTTACCTAAAGGATTTAGGCTACCTTGCTTTCTACATCTGTATCTTTGTTAATAGCTTACTAACATTTATAAATTTCACGTAAAGAGAATATGTAAATAATTTTCTAAACCCTGCTATCTACATCTGTATATTTGTAAATAGTTATACTACATCTATAAATTTCACATTAACAAAATATGTAAATAGTTTTCTAAACTGAAGTTAATGGAGGTTTTCTGTTGTTGAGTTAAGAGCAAATCTTTGGCGACATGAAATCATCATTATATCAAATTTGTGCATTGTCAGTGTGCTATTTGTGACAGGAAATCATCATCATATGCATTCTTAATGTGCTAAATAGTATAGGAATGTTGTTGATGTGTCACTGCACTTTGACAGGCAGCAGAGCTTATTGATGCAGCAATAGGTCCATCATTTGCTGCAATAAGGAAACAGAGGGAGGCAGCTGGTTCTGCATATTATGATGCTGGTGCTTATTCTCAAGGTCCATTTGCTAGGGTACCTGAAGCTCTTCGTCCTAAGCCTGGGCGCCTTTCTGTTGCTCAACAGAGGGTCTATGATGTAATTATTCATGTCCTTTCTGGTTACATTCATGATGTAACTAAAAAGTTTCAATTATTCTTTCTTCTACTTTAAGTGCACTTTTTGCAGGACTTCATCAGGAATATATGGCAAAATCAGTCTGGCCAGAGCACTTCTGTGGCTCCTGGTGGCCCGCCTGTCCTGAGTGGTAATTCCATAAGTACTACACCTCGTGCTTATGGTTCAGCTTCCGGTCAATTAAATCCCAGCATTTACCCTACTGCACAAGTGGCCCCCAGTTTTAACTCAGCAGCGCACTCTTTGGATACACTTTCTGAAGAGTCTGACCGTGGTTCATTGCATCCTAGGTTATCTTGTTCAACCTTATCATCTTATTTTACTTCTTGTATTCAATGCACGTAGCTATCATCAACTTCTAGATTATCTACTAAATAGCTATTGTCTCTTCAACTCATCTTGGCACAAGTGATGGTATCGCGCAGCCAAGTTCTGAAATCAATTCTGTTACTGCATCTTTTCCTGCTGCTGTGACCTCTGCTGATTTGCTAATAGTGGAGCCATCATCAGCTGCAAAAGTAGAATCTGATCACTTCCTTCTGAATAGTTAACCTAAAGATGCATTCTGATCAATATGCTTATTATGGTTTTAGGAATGGGGTTTGGTTTTGTCAGCACCAACACATTCAGCACAGGGAACAGAGCGGTCGACACCTACCTTGTCTGAGGCATTATTAACGACCGGGGATGCTCTTGAGAAATACCAACTTGTTTCTCAAAAGGTACATGATATTCTTATCTTAACCTTATTGTATGGATCTTGGCAAATGTGACCTTCAACAGTGGATGTTATTTCCATAAATTAAATGAATTTAATCACGCAATATCTCAGTACCCTTTATTTTTCTATTATATTCCTCAGGAGTTTATAGTTTAAATGTTATGAATAAGTTTCTATTCGATTAAATTTCAATATGCTGAAATGTGTTGCCTTTGTTTTTAAACATCATATTACTAGCAGTGGTGGAGCCAGAAACTTTTTAGAGAGGGGTCCAAATTAAATTTTTTAAAAGTTTTCCTCTTCTTTTTAAATTATATTCTGATTGTAATGTCAGTTTTTATGTTATTTCTAAACTTTGTTAGGTAAGATCTATTGTTTTTTTAGATATATAATTTTTTGTTCACATCTATATGGTCTTTTTATCTTTTTTAAATCTATAATTTTTAGATTCTCTTTTAGATGTAGACTTGATAAACATAAATTGTCTTTTTCAATTTTTATTTGAGTGATTTGTTAGTTTTAACCTATTCGTCCTATTCGTCGATGACTTCTCTTACAAGTCTTATACTCTCAACTAAAGCATTCTCTCAATTTAAAGAGAGGATTTGTTAACCATTAGGATCAAGCATTGTTGATAATTTCAAATAAGATCTTATATTTTCCTAACAAAAGTATCAAAAGCATGCCTCAAAACAACTTAAAAAATGAAAGCAAGATAACAGAGATCAATAATAAAAAATATAGAAGAAAATAGAAAGAAATATGCAACAGTTCTATAGAAAAGATCAAATCTATGATATGCAGCCATCTATAGAAAAAGATCAAACCTAATCTTACAGTTTTTCACAGCTCTCGATAGAGAAAAAATCTTAAGGGCATGAGTCATACCTCACAGGTGCAGCTGAATTGTAAGAAAAATATAAATTAGGGCTTGTTGCTTGCGTTACCTTCTTTTATAAGAGCATGGTACTGTGATACACTAAAGCAACGCAAAACAAGAGGGTTGGAGTTAGCTTGTGTTAAGGGCAGCGACAGCTGGTGGACAGCGGCAGCTGGTCCCACTACAACAACTGGGTCGGGTGGCTGGTTGGCGGCTTGGGATGTGCGAGGCACGACAGATGTTTCTGGATAGTCTGACGGCAACAAAAACATTTGGTGGCCTATGGAAATGGAGAAGAGAGAAAGGAGAAAGTTGAGCGGAGCAGAAGAATCGTTAACCGAGAGCTATGAATTACAAAAGCGTAAAGGAAATAGAAACTAGGGAGACGAGTGGAGCAAATAAATTGCTAGAGCAGCATGAATAGAAACTTTTTGGTGAAATTAGGGAGCCGAGAGCCGATTTTTGGTTGCCGCCGCTCGTGAAAATGCTTAGTTCCTGGAAATACTTGTTCTATTAGTCTGATTTAGTCGCATGGTTTTGGAAAAACATTCTAGATGGGTGCTTAGTTCCTGGAAATACTTGTTCTATTAGTCTGATTTTCTAGTTTTCTGAAAGAATCCATGTCATAAAAAGAAATTTTAGATGTCTTATTGTTAGATTTATACTTGACGTAACTATGTGTTTTTTTTTTTGGACGTTCGTTGTTTTTCTAAAACCATTTAGATTGAAATAATTTTGCTCCTGCCATTGAAAATAATTGTCACTCTGGTATGTAAATCAATATGTTGGCTCTCCATGATGTGGAAATTGTGGGCATTTTCTAAACCACTTCCTAAATTGTTAAAACCTGTTTTCATATGGTGATCTATGTTATTCTTTGTTTACGGAAGTTGCTTGTTTATGGGAGATTCTTTTATCTTGTCTATTATAGTATTTTGTTTCCCAACCTTTTTCATTTGACTTCTTCTTGCTTGCATTTCCTTTTATTTTTTATTTTTATCTTGCAAATATTATAAGCTTCATATTTATTATTTATTTTTTAAGCTATAGTTTTTTTAGTTTTCTAACTTTGGATGTCTTTATTATTTAGTTGGATGTTTTAGTTGCAAAGGATTTCCGAGAAGCAGATATTCAGGTTTATGACTTCCGCATTTATGGGTCAAATTTTCATGGTTTATGATAGCAGTGTTTGTGCTTCAATGTTATTCTAACTTGATCCAATTCATTTGTTTAAAATAATTTAGGGAGTTATTGCTGAGGTTCCTGATATATTACTAAGGTGTGTTAGCAAAGATGAGGCCGCCTTGGCTGTTGCACAAAAGGTATGCCATATCTTTGTATCATCTTAAGTGGAAAATCAGTGGCATAAAATATATTTATATTCTTCTTCTTTGTGATGCTGATAATGTTGGGCAGGTATTCAAAAGTTTGTACGAGAGCTCATCAAATGCTACTTATGTTGGCGCTTACCTAGCAATTCTTGCTGCTATACGAGATGTTTGCAAACTTGTTGTTAAAGAGCTTACTAGCTGGGTATAACTCTATATCTTAATGCTTCCTTTGGCAAGATCTGACCGTTTTTAATATCATAACTGTTTTGTTATTACGTGGTTGTTTTACCAAGACATTCAATACATTCTATTTTCTGATTAGCATGCTATAATTTCTTCTTTTCTTTGTTGCACATTATATATATATATATATTCACTTACAAGTGCTTTGTTTGGAAGTACTAGTTCAATGTGCTTAATATCACATTTTCTTACCGTTCATGACATATATATACTTGTGTGAATGTGTTGATATTCATATAATGCTTTATTGTTTTTAAAGTGCAACTTGGTTTGCAAAAATTTGTTTTGGCTTCAATGTGTAAAGTGCAATGTTAAATGGCATTTTTATAACTATAGCGGTTATATATATAATCAAATTTAAATCACATTAAGGAATAATTTTAACAAATATAATGATATGTTCACTAAATGATTTAAAACGTGTTATTAAACTCAAATGAAATGTAATTTACATTCCTAACTTGACGATAAACTTCAAAATTGAACATGCAAATTGAATTTCTAAGAATTTCTATTATGCATATGAATTAATAAAAGCATTGTTTAAAATTGTGCAATATGAGGCTTGCCTTGAGGTCTGCCTCAGCACAATTCTAGTGAAAAGCGCCATGAGGCTTATGCCTCTAGTTTTTTTATGAGGCTTGCGCCTCATCTTGGCTAGGGCTCGTCTCGCCTCACTAGCGTAAGGCTTACACCTCACCCTATTTGTATATATTTTTTTGTTAAAACTAATGTCAATCACACCTTTAGGCACATTTGAGTCAACAACTTCCTCTCGATTGCCCCTACCTCTAGCCCACGACCTTGGTCGTAGCCAACACCGTCGTAGCCGTCACTGACAATCACTTGAAAGCTACACAACACTATAAAAATTTTGGAGCATTAATCTCATATTTATGTTGATGAAAATATTTTTAAAATATGAACATGATTAAAATAAATTAAAAAGAATCATATTGGGAGGCATTCGACTAGAATCATATTGGGAGGCATTCGACTCTACCGAATGAGGGGATAGACCAATTTGTTATGGTGACAACTAAGATAAAGACCACGTCAGTGATGACAATGTATATGATTCCTAAGCTGTTGCCAACTATTTCAGATTTCATTAGGAATTAAATGTAAATGAGTAGAGAAATTGAGAAAGAAGAAATTTTGAGTTTAACTTGATGTTATATGATACTTTAATGCAATTTCTATATTTAATATTGTTTTGCTCTTATAATATTTGGATTTTAATTCTATTTCATGCAATTTATCACTTGTCACTTTATATCTTGTGCAATTATTTGTTTCATATGTATGCCAATTTGTTAATTCATAATTCAATAGGAATTTAATATGTCATCATTTAACATATTATTTAGGTATTATATAAAAAATCACTTAGGACATTTATTATCACTTTACGTAAATTTTTTTATTTTGAGGCTTACGCCTCAAAACGCCTTGAGGCTTACGCCTCGCCTCATGAACAAAAAATGCCTCAATACTCAATTGCACAATTTTAAACATTGAATAAAATATTAAAAATATCGTTTTTTTAATGTAAAATTTAGGAACTTCAAGATTTTATAAAAACATCTTGAATTCAGAGCAAAAGTTTAAGTTAAATGCATAAAATCTCAACTTTCATAACGGAAGTTTATAGGAAATCATTAGTCATCATTCTTTCTTTCATTCGCATAATCTCTTCCTACGTCAAGTAGAATTTTTTCATCTTCAAAATCTTCTTCTTGTTAGTCAATCTCATCTCCTTTTTTCTTGAACAACAATATAAGTGTCACATGTCGAGGCAAACTAGCTCATATTGTGTATGAACCTCTTATTTTTTCACCAATTAAACCTTACAGACCACTTTGATCAACTTTTCTTTATGTCTGTTTATTTTGTCTAAAGTTAGAGCTTCATCATCAAAACATTCCTTATTAGCATTTTTATCAATATAGGAAATTATACATTAGACTTTCATCTTATTGAATTTTAACCCAATGCTTGGTGCATTAATATTTCTCAATTTATAACTTTATTTAAGTGATCTCTTTTGACAATGCACAAACATTTGGATATCTATTTCGTCAGTAATCTCTATCAACCTCTCTTTATGTTCCTTCTTGGTAAGCAACCAATTCTTTATTTACATTGGAGTTTTCTTACATTTGGTCATATTACTCCTCTTGGATATTCCACAAGGACCCATAAGATACTCCTTGACTCATGATATACCTCATTTTGTCTCTTTACCACAATAAATACATATACAGCAAAGAGTATCTGATTCAGATTGTAATTTCATTTACTTCCAAGTCTTCCTTCGCACATTCAGATAAGCCGTACCTAAAATATTACACATATGCCATGCCTTATGAAAAGAGAGTTCTATGTATTGCAAATTATATAATGTTTTATAGAAGAACAATACCATTTAACTCTGTGGGATTTAGAGAGCATATTTCTTTAAATCTAGGTTGTCCAACTCACGTTGAATTGCATGCATTTAATATTCATTTAACTTTAACATATTCTCTGTACATGATAATACAATTTATTCGACTTATAAAAAAATAATACTCTTTATAAAATGATATTGGGAGAGCATATTTGTTTGCATGTATGCTAATGATAAAAATGAATAAATTTCTTTGTATGTAAATCATCTTATAGATCCGAAATAATTTGTCAAACATCAAAGACTACATAACTCACTCCTTTTGTCTTCTAAAATCATAGCAATATCTACCTACAAATTATTTTGTCGAGCAAAAATGTTCGACATATAATTCATCAAGCAGGAAGGATGTTGAGATGTAGGAGAAGGATAAAATGTTGGTTGTTGTAAGTCGAGATGCGACACAAGCTGTAGGTCGAGCCAAACACCGGCATTAGGATGCTATTCTATTGCAGTTTACTAGTGAGAAGTTCAAACGCAGGCTGCAAGTTGTTGTATGGCCGTAGGTCGTTAGCTAGATGTTTGAAACCTGGCTGCTGCAAGTCGAGGGTGAAGGTGATAATGCACTGCTGCTGCAGTTCAAGTGCTTACTAGCGATGTTAGTTCACTGTGATCGCTAGCCCTAAGTTCTCCCCTCCCTTTCTATTCTAATTGATAAACTGGTTACTAAACCACTGAGCTGGATCAAAAGCTGCAGTAGAATCATGCCTTCTGATGCACTCTAGCACTTGAAAGCGCGTATCACCCGTTGGCCAACTCACCCACTCATGAGAATGATGTGAATCATCGATCAACCGTGGCACAACGCTTCATGCTTTTAAGTGGTTCTTTTAACCACACTGTTGTGTGTTAAATGTGATAATCTTATAATGAAATAATTGAGGTGCCCATTCTGAAATGGCATCATTTTATATTTTTTGAGATAGTTTGGGGTTAAAGCTTGTAGGCCCATTCTCAAATTCACGCTTTATTTCACATTTTGAACCTGCCATAGAAGTTTGTGAAATATCCTTGTTTTTGTTGGATTTTTTACTTTGCTTTGTACAACATGCCCGTTCATTTGTTTTTAGTTAGGCACAATTGTTACTTAGTTATAGCTCCAGTATCTTTTACCACCTCCCTCCATTTACCTATCCAAGAATCAAACGCAATTGTTTACCACATCGTTTAATCTAATGCATTGATGTATTTGATAAATAGTTGTTGAATGAAGTGTGTGTACGTGGCAGTTGCTTATTATTATTTTCATACTTGATTGAATGAGAAAATTGAAAAATCGGTCTTGCAATTATCATAAATAATCATCAAGCATCTAACATTGAGTTTTAGTTATTTGATTGTCTCATTTTTCCTGTACCTTTGCTTGCTAAGCCTGGCATTGGTTAAAGTTTAAGAGAGGAAATTCGATGATTGTATGATCTATAACATTGCTTCATTTGTATTGCATGGAGCACAGGTTGCTTTTTTGCTTTAGAGTGAATCCTTGGTTGTTTCTGTACTTGTTTTTGCAAGGATAGAAAACCAAATATTTAGCAACACTTTTTAATTTATAGTAATTTTGCACTTATGCGTAAGTCTTCTACTATTTGTATTATTTTGCTCTATGGCTTGTCGCTATTCTTGTTTTTCAGGTGATTTACTCTGATGAAGAACGCAAGTTTAACAGAGAGATTACAATTGGCCTTATTCGTTCTGAATTGCTAAACCTTTCTGAGTACAACATGCATATTGCAAAGCTTATTGATGGGGGACGGAATAGTATGTATCAAAGATGCCTTTGCTGCTTCTTATATTCTGATATAGAAACTAGCAGTTAATATTTTACATGGATTCCATAGGTTGACTTTTGTTTAAGCTACATTCTTGTAATGCTTTCTTCTATTTTTCTTAAAGTTAAGCTTCATTATGTGACTCATGCACCCTTTCATGCTTCATAAGCATGAGCAGCATACTTCTCAGGTGGCTCATTCATTTTTGTTAAGAAAAACGGTGATTGTGTACGACACAATGAAGCTTTAGCATCCATGATGGAAGTACAGCTTCATTTAAAAAAAAAAATGCTTAATTTCACCTGCAGTTTAATGTTTCATTAGTAGTTCCTAATGTTGTTTGTGTGATGACTGTAACATCTTATAACACACCAGCTGCTGCAGTTTTTCTCTGGTTAAAGGAACCAGTAACTAGTGTCCGAGCTTATATAGAAATAGAAGCTTTATTGTTCATGATTGAAGCCTAGTTCATATGAAGTTTAATATTCATCATTTGTTCCTACTCTTGGCTATGTGCTGACTACAAAATCTTAAAACATAGAAGCTGCTACGGATTTTGCCATCTCTCTTGTACAAGCTTTGGTCGTAAATGAACCAGGAGTTAGTGTGTCCGAGTTGTATCATCTTATTGATGCTTTGACAAAGGTATGCACTTTCTTTTTGCTGGTCAGTGGAATGTTGTATTTTTGTCAAGCTGTTTGTTAAATGTCACCCCGTTCATACTCGCAGTTAGCAATGAGGCCAGGATCACCAGAGTCTTTGCAACAGTTAATTGAGATTGCCAGGAACAACTCTACTGGAATAAACTCTCTTTCTAGTTCTACTGCAAGCAGGGATGAGAAAACCAGGCAATCTAAGGATAAAATGGTCAGCGTAGATTTTTTTTAAAGACTTCTTATCGTTTATATATGGGGTTGAACATCTTAAGATGGGCCTAAATGTGTGACCTTTGTGTGCAGCAAGTTCTTATAAGCCGTTCTTCAACAACTAGAGAAGAAAATGATTCTGGAGGTTCTGAACTTGCCGGCTTTCGTGAGCAGGTATATGAAATTATTTTTAATGGATCCACGTTTGTTTACATTTTGGTTCAGGTGATAAATGTGAAATTCATTTAATTGCTATACCAATCTTACATTTAATTTAATGATTTCAAGTTGATTTGCTGATGACATTTGTCTCAGTTGATACTGGTTTGACTTGAGTAGATAGTTGCAACTATTGTGTTTATGCCTTAATTTTTTGTTTCTGATACATCTTTATTAGATTTATGAAACATATACTTCATGGAAGGGTGTTTTCTGTTCTTGAAGTAACTTGGTGTAACAATATAACCTGTCCTAACGTTTGATGAAGCCTTGCAATTATATAACTGATATTTGCTTCGGAGCAAACCTGAGGTCTTCTTCTGAATGCTTGCTCGAGTCATATGTTGGCTCTTTAAGAAAGGTCATTGTTTAGCATGCAAATGAATAGTTGGTGATATTCCTCTTTGCTGAGTCTATCTTCCTCTAGGATTTTGTTTTCAATGCAAAGGGATACTCACTAAATCATCATTTTTTCTTTCTTATTGCAACTTACGTATATAATATCTATTTATTAATTCTGCCTATAGGAGTATGTTTTCATCAATTTTTGAAAATTTCACTGACTATGAATACCTGGTAAAATTCCTTTGTGCATGCGCATATCAAAATTCTTGTCGTGGCTTTACATGATTGTTTTCAAGTTAAAATACCTCAAAGATCTTAAATTTCTGTATCATTCTTCCGTTGACATTTCTTCTTTTATGTAGGCGTCTCTCCTCTTTGCTGAGTGGTGCAGGATCTGTGATCTACCTACTGCCAATGATACTGTATTTAATAATTATCTAGCCCAATTGCAGCAAACTGGACTGCTCAAGGGTGATGATATGACAGATCGATTTTTCCGTGTTCTTACGGTCTCTTTCTCTCTTTCCCCCACCCTCTTAACTCCTTCCTGCTGTGGATGTGTCTGCAATTGTGTTGCATGCATGATTGTTTGCTTTTTCATGTTTATTATCTGAGTATCTATAGCCATGCCTTCATTTCTTTTTCATGCTATCTTGCTGATTGTGCAAGTCCTTCCAGGAGCTCTCTGTGGCACGTTGTCTGTCCTCTGAACAAACTGGCATTACAGGGTCATTGCCTATTCAATCAACTCAAATTCAGAACCTCTCTTTTGGTGCCATTGATGCATTTGCAAAACTTGTCACTTTTGTTATGAAGGTAACGTGAAGCATATACTTTAGTACTCTGGTGTATATAAATATCCCTTGTGGATAATTCCTTCAAGGTTATGTGAGTTTTGAGTAGTCCTGTAGAAAAAAAATAATGTTGTTGTTATGCATATTTATTATTATTATTTTTAACTTTCTGTGGGCAGTACTCTACAATGGATCAAGGAATGAGTAAAGTTATCTTTTTACCCAAGGTTATATTTTGTAATCCATTTTATTATCCTTTTTTCCTGTAAGCTTAAAGCTTATCAAGTCAACTGCTGAGTTGTGTATACTGTTTTCCTTTTTCTGCCATTTTACTCGTAGGTTCTGTCCGTGTTAGTGAGAGTAATTTTAAAAGATGCTGAAGAAAAGAAAGCATATTTCAACCCGAGGCCATACTTCAGGCTGTTTATAAACTGGCTTTATGATCTAGCTTGTCTTGATCCTGTGCTTGATGGTGTTAATTTCCAGGTCGGTGCTGATAAATTTCAGGAAAATGCTGCTAGAAATTAGGTCATCCCAACTGTCTTGCTCATTTTTTTTACCTTGTATTTCAGGTTTTAACATCTTTTGCAAATGCTTTCCATGCTTTGCAGCCGCTGAAAGTACCTGGTTTCAGGTTATACATTTACTGGATTTTTTTTTTAATTCCATGAAAAACTTTGAAAGAAAATGCTTATTTATTCCTTTCATTGAAATGGGTTACTCATTTAAAAAACTAAAATTTGTAAACATAATGATTGAGCCTAGCTTAGGGTGTAAACGAGTTGAGTTGAGCTCTAGTCACCCTTGGCTTGAACTTGATTAATTAATGGAGTTAAGAGCTTAATTCTAAGTGTTTGAATTAGTTCATTTATTATAAAAGAGAGTAGATCGTTCTTGCTCAAGTGGTTATTATAATAACATGATAAAAATAATTAGACAAATTTTCTTCGCCTTGGCATAATATTAAGAGAATCCATAGTTGGAATAAAGCCAATGTTGATTAGTGTAAAGGTTAGAAATGTAATAACAGCATAGATTCATTTATCCAGTAAGCAAATTTCGTTCCCCTTGAGCTCCTTTCGTTTGCCAATTTTTTTGTAGGATTGGCTTGAAATAAGTTGAACAGCCCTTTATTGTTTTAACCTTAGAATCTGGCCGGCGCATCCATCTGCTTAAAGTAAACAGTTTGTGAGAGTGAGAGAGAGAGAGAGAGAGAGAGAGAGAGAGAGAGAGAGAGAGAGAGAGAGAGTATGTGGCAAGCAGTCCTGCTGATTTGTTTTTCTTTCAGCTTTGCATGGCTCGAGTTGATTAGCCACCGAAGTTTCATGCCAAAGTTGCTTACCACCAATTCTTTTAAGGGCGGACCATTTTTCCAGCGATTACTTGTTGACCTCTTCAAATTTGTTGAGCCCTATCTAAGAAATGCTGAACTGAGTGAACCGGTTAGATTTTCTTTTGTGATTAAAGGCTTTTTGAAAAGCCATATTTTCAACTGAGATAATTTTTTTGTTTGCGGTTTAAATTCTATGCAGGTTCAACTCTTGTATAAAGGGACGCTCAGGGTTCTTCTTGTTCTTTTGCATGATTTTCCTGAATTTCTCTGCGACTATCATTTCAGTTTTTGTGATGTGATCCCTCCAAGTTGTATCCAAATGCGTAATGTTATTCTTAGTGCTTTTCCACACAATATGAGACTTCCCGATCCATCAACGCCTAACTTAAAGGTTGCTCTCTTTTTCTATGTTTGCTTTAACTTCAATATCTGCTTTTGGGTATCGTGCTAAAGCACCCAATTTTTTGTCTCCTTCGCAGATTGATCTTCTAACTGAAATCAGCCAGTCACCTCACATTTTATCTGACGTTGAGGGTGCTCTCAAGTCAAAGCAGATTAAGTCTGATGTTGATGAGTACCTTATGGTAACTGTTTTTATTTGTTGGGTGGTAGCTGCTTCAGTGGCTTGAATTTTAAAAAGAAAATTTTTTATTCTATTCATTTACGGAAACATATTTGCCCTTGAGTTAAATTTTATGCATGCTCAAGGGAAAATGTATTTTCATTAGTTCTCAGCATGTGTTTCTGATGTTTAATTTCCTTAAAATGTATGCCCTAATGTGCTTAGGTATTTAGACTTGCAAAAGAACTATTACACACTAAAATTGTGATGTTTATTATTAAGAAAATCCATAGTTGGAATAAAGCCAATGATGATTAGTGTAATGGTTGGAAATGTAATAACAGGATTCATAACTTTCATTCAGCTCTCCTTGTGTTGATCCTCAAGTATTAACGTGTAAATGTGAAATTGTTTGGATCCATAACCTTCATTTAGCTCTCCTTGTGTTGATACTCAGGTATTAAAGCGTAAATGTGAAATTGGTTCTTGTTTGTGATCCTCATAAGAGTACGTTTTGCGCATAGTTAGCAGCTTATGAAGTACAGTTGAGAAAAACACAAACATGTGGCATTTCATGGTTGAGTAATGTTAAAATCCCAAATGGAATACCAAAAGTCTTGGGCTTTCATGGATTGTTGTGCATAGGTGATGATGCTTACGTTGTCTATATAAAATGGGATAGTATTTGATGCTCTTTAGTATTGAAGTGTTAATGTGATAATTGATTCTTGTCACTGTTTCCCATTTGTGTAGTTAGTGAGTGCCATTTTTTTCATATTTAATAGCTTATGTAGTAAACCCAATTGAGAAAAACACAAACATGTGGTATATCATAGTTAAATAATGTTATAATTCCCAAATAGAATACCAAAAGTTGTGGAATTTCCATGTATTCTTGAACATCTATGATGATGCCTGCATGTTTTATTTAAAATGGGAATGTATTTCATATATGCTTATGTGGTTGATGAGAATCTAGAAAGTCCATTTTATGTCCCAGTTATTTGGGGAGTATGGTTTTATTCATCATATTTCTCTACAAATTGAAAATGGTTTGTTGATTTTTTTAAACATAATTAGGAGTTAATGCTATATGATTACCTCTATTCCATTATGCCCTATTACAAATATCTAATTCTGAATTTTGTGCATCTTAGTTATCTTGTTAGTGTTGTGGTTACTTCAGTTGATTATATAATGGCATTGGTTTTCATTCGTATCTAATACTGTGCTGTAGACGAGATCAGAGGGGTCTGCGTTTTTAGCTGATCTGAAGCAGAGGTTACTGCTTTCCCCAAGTGAAGCAAGCGTGGCAGGAACTCGTTATAATGTGCCACTGATCAATTCGCTAGTGCTATACGTAGGCATGCAGGTATTTCCCATGCCCTATGCCCTTTTGTTAGCTACTGTATTCCTGCTATGATATTTTTTCCACGCAACTTTGATTTGAAGTCCTTTTTTATGATCTTATGCCGTTATCGTTTTGATGTTGTGCCTTTTGATGCGCAAGCAAACTTTCTGTTCAGTTTGTGCTCTCTATTTACTTGAATTATTATAGAAACTGAAGGAAATACATTTTGCATAATATTAGGTGGTTGATTTATGTTACTTATTTATTGCCTATCCTTATTTCTGTTTTTTTTTTTTTTGGGTTCATTTTTTAAATTTTTTGGGGAGTTGCAGGCTATTCAACAGCTGCAGAGCAGGTCTAATCAGCCAGCATCTGCTCAACAGATGACTCAAAGCCCTCCAATGGATATCATGCTTGTTGGTGCTGCAATGGATATCTATCAAACTTTAATAAAGAATTTGGATACTGAGGGTCGATATCTCTTCCTCAATGCTGTTGCTAACCAGCTGCGCTACCCAAACAACCATACCCATTATTTCTCATTTGTTCTTCTCTTTCTTTTTGGGGAGAAAAACCAGGTGACAATATAGGCTTTGTTTGGGACCGCTTTTTTTATTGCTTTTTAAAACAACTTTTTAGTTTAAAAATTTTAAAGTTGCTTTAAGAAGCAGTAAGAAAATCATCCCAAACGAAGCCATAATCTCTTAAAACAGTTTTCATATATATATAGGGTATATATTTTTTTCTTGTATAGTTAGATATATACCTGTTACATCATGCTTACAACTGGCCATGTGAGATCTGAGATTTTGTTTTGGCCCTATTCAATATTTTGGCAGGAACCTGTTCAGGAGCAAATTACAAGGGTCCTCTTGGAGCGTTTGATTGTCAACCGCCCTCATCCTTGGGGCCTTCTTATTACTTTCATTGAACTCATCAAGGTATTCTACTAGATTCCCTCCCTCTCCCCTCTAGCAAATTATTAGGTCTGGTCACCGGATGTAGAGATACGTCTGGATACTAATAAAATATTATTTTAAGTTAAGCGCGTCAAAAGTGCAAGTAAAGCGCATGTAAAGCGCTTGTAAAGTGCAGGTAAAACACAGTCAAAGCGCATCTAAAGCGTAGTTAAAGCTTAGTCAAAGCGCAGACGTCGTGACAAGTTTTAATTGGATGTCCGGACCTATTTTTAGGTCCGGTGACCGGACCTAATAATTTGCCCTCCCCTCTTGGGCGAATTAGTACGTCCGGTCACCGGGCCGTCCGGATACCAATCCAGAAGCGCCACGTCACTCAAATACACTGGGCCCGGGTGATGTGGCACATCTGGATTGGTGTCCGGACGTAATAATTTTCCCCCTTCTTGAGCTTTCCCTTTATTTGTTGCCCCTCATATGCAGAATCCAAGATATAGCTTCTGGAGTCGATCCTTTACCAGATGCGCTCCAGAAATTGAAAAGCTGTTCGAATCAGTATCAAGATCCTGCGGAGGTCCGAAAAACGTGGACGATGGAATGGTTCCAGGTACCCTCCCTGATGGCAACCACTGAGTATTTTGATTCAACTTTTTTTTTTTTCTTTGGAGCAGAAACCCTAACTTGGATTTTCCCCCCTCTTCTGTAGAAATTTAGTGTATGTAAATGGCATTGAACTGCTGGGTAGATTGACGCATGAATAATCGTTCATAATTTATTCCATAGTTTAGACATTATGGATGTACAGATAGATAATTCAATCTGATTTTGTTGACAACTGTTGCTATAAAGAAACAAAACTAAATTTGCTTTGTTGAATTATTTGACTCTTTGGCCATACATTGTTTTGCCTAAGAAATTAT